TATACTTATTTTAATCAGTACACTTTACTTTCCACCATTCATCTGCCATTTTCAGCAACAAATAAATTTAAAATATCTACATCACTATCGAAATAGGTATAAAGAAACGAAATGGAAAAATGTATTAATAAAAAAAATGTACATGAATTTGGAACAGTGTAACTAACTATGCTAATATTAGATAAGATTCTGAAGCATTTTGTAGATAAATGATTCTCAAAATATGTTATTTTTATTGGTGATCATTGAAATCGAAATTATACAGATCTAAAAAATCAGTAAAGTATATTTTTTGTTTCATTTTTGTATTTGTTTTTTTTTTATTTGATGTTCATGTTATTGTTTTACCTTAACCTAATGCACATTTAGACTTATTAATCCATATATCATTTATATATCATATTCCAAATTGGAATATGATATCATTTATGATAATGATATACACTCATGGACAAAAATATTGAATATTGTGAAAATTTTCAATTTTTTTTTTAATAAATTTTGGTCAATCAAGTCGTTTATTGTGAAAAAGAGTTTATTTTAACAATTTTTAATGAATTTAATAAGTTTTTATAAGAAAAAAATTGCGAAAAAAAATAATGCTTCTTCTTCTTCTGCAAGTGCCATCTCCGCGGCGGAGATCGGCAATCATCATAGCTATTCGGACTTCTGAGACGGCTGCTATGTATGCAAGTCTACGCATACTAACAGGTCTACCTACTACTTCAAACCATTGGTCAGCAATTTGACAAATGGCAAGTAGTGGCAAAACGCAGAGCCAGTAACTTAAAGCACCTATCTTGACGGTCTGTGGTACGCCTCGGTTGACCAGTTGATCTTCTTTGTGTTCCTCTACCTTCGTTTGTCCACACACGACAGAAACGCATAACGTCATTGCCATACAATTAACGCGACGGCCAATTTCGCGATACGACAAACCATATCTCTATATGCAATAATTCTACCCCTGTCAAAATCGCTAACATGGTGGTAATTTTAGTGTCTTCGAACTCGAGGCATTTTCTTACACTGAATACAATTAGACTGAGGAATAATAACCAAAGATTTCTATACGAACCGGTTTTCACAAATCGGTCTATTCACAAACAATTTAAAGATAAAACTTTTTTTTTACAAAAAGTAGAAAAGATAAAACATTGGTATTGTTATCATAGCATGTTTTAAATATAGTCATTCTGTTGCCAAAAAATTAAGTTCAAGAAATTATCCTTTCTGGGTGTAACACTTCTAATGTCACTGAGTATATGTTGGAGGAGCCATGAGTGACGAAGTTCAGATTTGGTCAGAGATAGATTTGGCTTCACTATGGTCAGAGAAATGGGGGCAATGCTTTTGTAAAAGCGGCAATTAATTTCGCGTGACAAAATTTGGAGAAATAATGAAATATTTAAGGTTCGATATCAGGTCTTCACGATCGCAGAAACTGAAAGAGGACAAGTTTGCATTATTTTCGGAAATTTGGTACAATTTCATTGCAAGATTCACAGAGCAGCTATGTTCCAGGACCATATATCACTGTCGACAAAATCACTATCACAAAACCCGATAAATATGGTCAAAAATTCTGGATGGCTGTGGAAAAAAACACAAACTACATTACAAATGTGTTTCCATATTTAGGGAAAGACCAAGCAACACCAAATAACGAGCGTCTTGGTGATTATGTGGTAAAAAATTTGATGCAATCATATTTAAAAAAGTAAGAAATGTTATATGTGACAATTTCCCCATTTAACTATCAATGGCTGAATTTTTTAAAGAATAGAATAGAATAGAAAAAAAGCTTTATTCTCAGGATTCACAAGTTACACACAAATATAAATTGTCAATAGAGAGAATGGTGCCAATTACAATTTATAATGGTTGCTGTAACATCCTACACTTAACATAAAAGTAATATTAAAATATAATAATAATAACAGTGACATTTAGATTCACATAAGAGCCCTCAATCTCCCTGTAGGTCAGCTTGAAGGTATTCTTCCACTTTGTACAGTTCAAGGTGTATGAGCAACTGTTGAACAGACTTTCTATATTTATTTATGTCAGTTTCTATTTTGATGCTGTAAGGCAGTTTATTAAAGAATTTAATACAGGCATATTCTGTGGTTTTCTCAGATGCTGTTAGTCTATGTATTGGTATATTATAGTTTATGAGATTGTTTTGTGTATTAGTATTATGGTTTCAAGAATTTATGTCTATTTTTAAAAATGAAAAGTAAGAATTCATGTATGTATGTTCCCATGCCACAGTTAAGTAGAGTTCTGATTGCTTTTTTTGTATTATAAAAACCTGTTCAGCGTTACCACTTCCCCCCATAAAACTATTCCAAATCGCATTACAGAATGAAAATTTGAAAAATATACAACTCATTTACATTTTTCGTCCAAATAATTTGCTGTTATTCTGAAAGAGTAGCAGATAGATGCTAACCTGTTACAGATCTCAACTTATATGCACTCCAAAATCTAAATTTTGGTCAATATGTACCCCCAGAAAATTTTGTGCTTTGATTTAGAGTAACCATTTGTGATTGAATTGAGACAGTTTCTGGTAAGGTACTATTATTTGTTTTAGTGACGAAACGGATATAATTTGTTTTTTCTCTATTCAATATGACTTTATTCATATTGACCTATCTCTGTGCTTTATCTAATCTATTATTAGCAATATTCAATAAATCATTTAAGGATGGCCCTATAGTTAAAATGTTAGTACCATCTGCAAATTCCACAATAAGAGTATTCTGATTGTTATCTGTAATGTCTAAAGCTAAATCATTTACATAAAAAACAAAGACAAGAGGACCCATAATATTTCCCTGAGGAATTCCCACTGAAATGAGACCTTCACCATAGAAGCAACTTCTTCCCTTGTACTAAAATTTTACTTTCTGTTTGATAGGTATGATTTTATCCAATTATAACCTGGCCCTCCATATCTGTAAAGCTTTTTAATTAGTATTTTGTGATATAAAGTATCAAATGCCTTTGATAAATCTAAAAATATGCCCATGGATATATCTTTGTTTTCATAACCCTCATTTATCTTTGTTATAAAACCATAAATGGCAGTCTCTATAGATTTTCCCTTAAGGTACCCATTTTGTGTATGCCATAACAGTCCCTTACTATAGAAAAAACTGAGAACCCTGATACACATGACTGGCTGGAAGGGGCTTATTGGACGATAATTTTCTTAGTAAAGTGGCATCACCTTTTTTATATACACTGGTTTTACTACAGCTATTTTTAAGTTGTCTGGAAATATCCATTTATGAAGGTATTGTTAATTATATGACATAATGGTATAGCTAGCTCATATGCACACAGTTTGATTATATTTGTAGGTATCCCATAACCTGAAGTGAATTTATTTTTCAATTTTCTAATTAATTCAATTACTTCATTTATAGTTACTGGCGTTAGAAAATGAGGTTTTGTTAAACTGTATTTTGGTGCTGAATTCTATTTTTGGTATATTTTCTAAAAGATGTGTGAAAGTGAATAGTACTAGTCTAGTTGGAAAACTACTATGAATAGAGCTCAATGAGAAATCCCAGCTTGTGTGAAGTATGCAAAAGAAAATTTGTACAGGACAATATTTACAGTTAATTGACAAAAGTATTGAATAATTATCATGCCAAAAGCAACAAAAATGTGGTCATGTTTAATATAATGCACTTAGATGTACAAAATACCTCCTCTGAGAAAAAGAAACCTGAAACTATTGTATTTTATAATGAGACAAAATATGGTGTTGATGTAGTGGACCAAATGGAACACAACTATTCAGTGAAAGCATTATCTAGGTGTTGGCCACTTTACAGGTTTAACAATTTACTGGCTGTAGCTGTAATAAAATGCCTGGATATTATATAAATCCTTAAATAATTCACAAATAAGTTGAAAACTTTCAGAAAAATATGCTGCTGTCAATCGAGTTGCTATCCCAGATGAAATCACAAAAAAAAAGCGAAAATGTTGTGAAATTAAATCATAAATGCTCTGGAAACAAATCATTTGTGAATTGCCACGCATGTAGACCATACAGATAAAAATGACACATTCATGGTATATATAAATGGCAGAAATGTCTGTGGTTCTAGTGTTAAATACCATCTAAGTTTAAGAGAGCCTATGATGAAATACAATTTTTGGCTGTCACTCAATAACTATGCTAAATGCTAACTCAGTTCATTCCCTTACATGGTTTTTTCACTTACTTTGATATCTCAATTTGGTTCAAAGTTATAAATTATTGAATAAATCATTGCATGATCTTTCATAAATTTTGAATTTGCCAGGCTGGGGTAAAGCCTGTAGCTCTTCTAGAAGAGCTGAGAAAGGATCAATGTTACTATAGTTTGCATTTTGTTCAAAACCCAAAAAACTTTATACTTAAATAAAATTTAAATTATAACAAAAAATGTATCCAAATAAATAAGGGAAAATGTGTTTCAAATGTAAGATTTCCTAAAGAATCTGAATTTAAGCTGTAAAAAAATTTTGAATGACATGAAAAAAAAACACAAAAAACTTAAAAATATTTATATAATTATTTATTTTTGGTAATTACAAAAAAATGTCAACATTTAAATAAAAAGGTGTTTTTTCTGGAAGATCTTACCTGAGATCAACAATTTTATTGTTAAGGAAAACACGGTATATTATAGAAAATATTAAATATGGAATTTTTTTTTTAATGTTCATTTTAGTTTGCCTCATTGAATTTTAAACCCAATCAAAAGGGTATTCACTTGAGCCCAAGTTCTGTGAGTTTCTCATTTGGTTCAAAACCTACAGCTTTTATTAACAGCAAGTTTTCCAACTTTCTAGCAACCATTGGAAAAATTTTAAAATTATCAATAAATATTACAAACTTACAAAACAATAAAAGAAATAATATAATATAATAATTAAAAGAATTTCCAATTAATACTTTTTTTTATGATACTATTTAACAAAATCGAACCTACCTTTTGTCATCTTTTTGTTCTGAGTCAGACAAAGAATCCTTGCTCTTGTGTGCATCTTTGGAAAGTGTATAAAGATCTATTTGCTTGGATTCTTCTACTAGGTCCCTCTCCGTAACTATGTGCTTAAATTCAGCCCTTTCTTCATTTCCCTTTTTTATGGAAAAGTTATAATATTGTAGGACTTGTTTCACTACCAGAGGATTCTCCCTCTGTTCATCTTTTGTGATTTGAGTACCGATTTGCCTCATCCATGCTGAGGGGAGACCTAAGAGAAAATAACAATTAACAAGACAATTGTAATCAGGTAAGGTATAAATGGAAGCTCAACTAATGATAAAATAAACAGCTACTACTTAAAAACATTAATAAGAACATTTTCATAGGAGATTTGTTTGGTCATACCTTATGTTTACTTAATTCCCTGCATAACAGTATTTAATAATCTTAATACATGAGGAATATCTTAAAATATATATACATTTTACAAAACCTGACAAATATTCCTACATAAGCTTATCTGAAGTAGGTATTTCCCAAAATTTAAAGGACTAGTCACAACAACAATCGAATGGATTTCACATCTTCATAGCCTATTTTTAGTATGTAGATAAAAAAAATTTAACATCAGTCCTTACAAAACTTCAAAATGTATGAAAAAATGAGTTAACAAAGCAATATTTTCCAATTCTTACTCATTTCCGAACTGTATTGAAGGTAACTAAATAGTGTATATAAAAACAAAGAGACTCTACTTTGATTGAAGGAATTATTATGTGTAAATGTGTTAGAATCCGCCCGTACATATTTAAAACACAGTAGAATTGCTTACCTGCCAAGTTAATGTTAATAAAAACAAGTATTGAAGTATTTACCTGTTAGCTTTCCTTCGTCGTTTACTGTAACATGAATATCGTGGTTAACATTTGTTGGAGTTCCTATAACAGCGATGTTAGGTTCCTCCTTGTGCTGCTTTTTTCTAAAAAGGAAATTCATTGTATTTGAACGACGCACAAAAACAGCACAAAGGAATTAACCGAAGTATTTTCTTAATGAACTATTAGTATTATCAGTCTTGACTTTGTTGCATATCTTACTATTAATTACTGTAGTATTTAAATATATTTATAAAAAATAGTTTAGTAATGTCAAGTATCGCCCGTAGCCTATGGGCAATGCCAATGACATTAGGTACGCGATGACTGTATCTCTGACAAGTGATAAAATTGACATTGACAAGGTATTTAATTGGGGCAGGGATGACACTCTGAAAATACAAAAAATGTATTGATGTTAACCATAAAAAAACATAAATTAATCATGCATAAGTATTTAACTACATTCTACGTGATATATATAGTAGCTTTAAGGAATTTGAGTATTCCAGTTAACATTATACAAGCTAAATTTACATTTTATTAAGGATGTTCTTAAAATATCCTTTGAATGTCGATAATATGATAATGTGGCAACAATGAACAGGGATGGAGATGGATGGACGCCTAACCAGCCCATCTAATTTATTAGGGGCGGGATATTTAAAAAATGTCATTTTATTACATTGTGGGATATATTTTTAGAATCTGTAATAGTATGTATTTACATATAAAATAAATGAAATTTAAAACAACCTGTTCATTGAAGTGAAACATAGTATGCTACTATAATGACTAAATTCTTGTACAATTCGTGTATGTATAATTTTAGAACAGAATATTTTTTCTTATAAATTCTTGACAAAAACAAAGTTATAAAATACATTCAGGATGACTCTATATGTTTTCATCAGCAATTTGTAGCGTATAGATAAAAACCACTTATTAGCATAATACATTCGTTTAAGCTGTTAACAGCATGTGGTATTTCTCGCATACATTTTTTTAAGCAATATGTTGGAACTTTTGAGTGTAGAATATGTGCAAACATCATTCCTTAACCGTTATGATATCAAACTTCGTCTGATAATACCAGGATGCCGCCTAGCCAAGTAATTTGACAACATGTATTACTACATGGGAACATGGGAACGTCATAACTTTCCAATCTTTTTTCCGTGTTGATTAGATAGGGTTAAGTGGGGCAATATTAATTAGGGATGTGGAGATTGTATTTTAATAATTTATTTAAGCGTGTTAATCTAATTTATAGTATTAAGCAACAGAAGATGGTAGCTGCTCTTGGTATATGAGAGTAAGTTGATCTTTGGTAAAGACAGGAAGTACATTTGGCACATATAGCCATCATTTTAAGGGAAAATATAAGACAAATATTAAATGCTTAGACATTTGGTGTAATTTTATTGGTTTCCGCTGGTAAATATTTGTGATTTTTAACCAGGAATAGCCCTTTTGCGACTATCTTCGATTTTGAGTATCGTGCTTTTCTTGAGATTTTTGGTAACTATTTTTTTATGGATCACCCCAGATTCCATTTTCGAGGTTATCACACATTTCTTTCCAGCAGCTTTTCTTTTCATTGTTTATTTCCTTTCTTTGAACCTACCTTTACTTTAGTACCTACTAGTAAAGTGAAATTAAAATCATCAAAGTTTAAATTGAAACAATTTAAAAAACAAAAAGAGAAATCATACGATTTCTACCTGGCGAAACCGAATTCAAATTTTTACCACTGTGTTTTCTAAAACTTGCAAAGCCAACAGTTTGATAAATTACTCAATTTATTAATATATTATTACTTATTACCAATATAACTTTGGGTTATGCAATGAGTACAAAGAAATAACTAAAACCAAAGATGTAACTACACGAAGAGGTAGACTTGGAGAGATGGAGAAATTACGAAGAAGAAGATGTCACGAAGAGTGTTGCTAGTTATTATCCAGATCCAGCTGCAAGGGAGAGGATCGAATGGAGGAATAAGCTTATTAAGATCGGAGCTCAACGTAGTCATAGCACTAACGATGATGAAATAGTTTGGATAATATAATGTCTTCTTGTACGCCATTGTTAATTTTATGTTACGCCATTGTTAATGCTGGGCATACTTCTTCTGAGTCGATATCCTGTTACATATATCTTGATGACATGACTTCTTGAGTTGATCTCTTCAATGTTCCGTCACTTATTTTTATCTTCTATCATTCTTGCACATTCTAACAGCGGAATACCTATTTTTGCGACAAACAGGTCCGTATATTTTGTGGGAATCTGCCTGTGTTTCTTTTGCCTTCAGCGTTATATGAGCATACATCAAGATTCATACATTTTTTGTATTATATTTCGTAATGACTGTTTTTGACCTATTGTATGAAATTGAATCGGTCATTTCAAAAACAACACGAGTCACATATTCCTAATTGTACAGGAGAGCAAAAAACTAAATAGTTGAAAGATGGATGAAATGCGTGACCTCAAAATCCAAAGTTATATTGTAATTGTGTTTCTAATCATAATAATCTATAAATCGCCTCAAAAAATAAAGGTTTTTTGAAAAATGACTTTTGAAATATTGGACTAATGCTGTTTTTGTAAGTAAAGTATAGTAACTACAAAAACTGGTAATTATTAAATAATAATATTATGGAAGAAAATCAAATTCATTATCTTACTCAGGTGCTACGTCGTCAGCTTGCTCACTGGTAGACCACTGGAAAATTTTCTCGTAAAATGGTTTATATTCTTCTAAAATGCTGTTTGGAACTTGTTTGATATTTGCAATTTTTTGAGATTAATGGCTAGAGCGTTTATTAAGCTAATAATGTTGGTAGCAACACAGGGGCGCTTGGTTTTGGAAAGACGGAACGTATGACTAATGAAACCGTCAATAAAATCGTGAGTCACAACTGTACCTTTTGCATGCTTATCGTATTCAAACGACATAAACGACGATGGAGAGACGCTTCTTTTTTGTTGCTTTTGTACCTTTGAACCTAGGCTTTCATTGAAGAGGCAGTTTCGCTTGTAATATCTTGGCCACCAATTACGATAATCTAATATCTGACGTGTCTTCATTTCAAAAATGGAAAAATTTGTCCCAGCTCCAGCCATAAGGGAATAATATTGGTCTGGCACATAAATTCTGTCATGCTTCTTAAGTTTTAATTTCAGCAGACCAAAATCTCGATCATTCGGCAAAGATGAAAGTCCTCTGATTGGAAAGTAATGGATTATTTTGGAAAATCTGCCTACATCCGTCAATGAGAGCAAAAATTGGATCATCGTATGGTTCTTATTTTGTCCAGGATAATTGTCGCTGAACAAAAATACTTCTTGTACGTTATCGGGTAAAAAAGTTTCAAAATAATGGGACAACATGGAACAAACTTCATTAGCGCCTTTATTGGCTTGGTTTTCATGGTAAACGTAAAACACAGATTCCTTAGTTTTTAACATTTTTTATACCGAAGCAGTTCACCCATAGTTGACGCAAATAAAATATCTCTTGTATTGGTATACAGGGCAGAGGAAGCTTTTGCATAAAATCGAACGTGAGAACAACTGCGTCCTCTCGATTTTCACAAATATCTCTCACAAAATGTATCTTGTGAAATTTCTTGGACCTTCTTTTATGAACCACTAGTTCAGCTTCTGCGGTACGTTTGGCATGTGCTTCTAGGGACTGGCTGTTGATTTGTGTAACCAATTCTTCGCACTTAATACAAGTATCAACTTAGGGTCTACCAAAACGCAAAGACAACTGTTCTTTAAAATATTTTGCGTATTATTTATACTTAAAATCCACATTTGGATGTTTTTCTTTAAAAATACTGCATGGTTTTGACATCTAGGCGTGCATCAAGGTATACCATTTTTTTACTTGCATAGTGTGTCTGTTTTCTGGTAAATGACAAAATATTATCATAAATGAACTTATTAACTTCAGGGGATTTGGTATTCCATTTCGGGTGTTGTTCTCGCCTATCACGGGGGCCAAAGACTTAAGAAGCAAACTGCAAATTCTTCTTACACGACCTTCTGATATCCCATAAATCGAAGTAAAAGCCTTTTTACAGACCTTTTCGTTCTTCTTTCGATTTGGAACATGATGGGTGGATTGAAATTCTTTCAACACTGCTTCTTCTTTTCGGGCATGGTGTCTCTGAACATGCACCTTTTCGATATTTTGCTGCAAGAATATATCTTGCTCATTTTTGGTGGAAAAGTTATTTAGTATGTCAACACAAAAAGCTAATTCTTTTGTAAAATTTTGCTCTTCTAAACTAAAATGTTTTAAAGGCATTTTATTCATTTGAACAGTTGATGGACCGAATGTGGACTGACTGTCACTTAGTGGTTGTGACGAACGAAGAAAAAGGAAAATCACTTATTATTTTTACAATTAGTATCAGTGGAAACAGTTTTACACTATAATAAAAAATAAAAAAGCTAGCCTCTAAAGCTTGTTGTAAATATTGTTCGGCTAACTTACAAATAAAATATTCAAAATATATTTTGTATTCTTGTGATTGTATCAAAATCAATTTAGAACTATTGAAAACAACTCAAAGTCTAATAGAAAAGGTTTGTGGATGATAGTATATTTTCAATGGCAAGCCTCTGAAGCAAGTCTCATCTTTCTAAACCTTTGACGATTTAGGTGGTTTGACGTTATCACGAACAAACGTCAAACTTCAGAGGTTTGGTCTGACAATGTTAGTTTTACGCTTGAATTGAAAGAGCTCAAAACACATTTTACCTTTTAAAACGTTAAAATTTACAATAAATATACAATACAAAATTAGAATTATTAGGTCTATTAGAATGGAAAAATGGAAAAAATAAGGTTCACATTATATATTGTAATAGTTTTATTAGGTTATAAGTAATAAAATAACAAGTTATAAGGTTTTAAAAAGAATGTAATTACAAATCGAATTCAAGTCTTCGATGGCCACTTTTGGCGAATATTTCTAAAACTTTCGTTGGGTCTACAGGGATGTCTCGATGGGCATGGATTAGAGCAAGTCCAGTCAACCTGTCTTGACGCATCCGTGTTCTTAGCCACGACTTTATTCTCTTTAGAGATTGAAAGCTACGCTCTGCAGAAGCATTGCTGATGGGAAGTGTAGCTAAGACTAGAAGTAGCTTGCTGACTGTAGGGAACAAATCTCTGTTACACCTGTCTAACGCGTCCAGCGCTGTTTTTGGAAATTCGTCGTGTCTTTCCATTGCATTCTCCCAAAGCTGTAGTTCACCTTTCAATAAGCATTTCATTTCAGTTTGAGACATATCAAAAAGTTCACTGTACCTCCTTACTAAACACTCAATTTTTTCAGACATGTCCTGAACAGAGTTGGTTATCAGGTATTCAGGCATGCATACGTGAAGATTGTACAACTCCAATGTTTCTTCAGGAAAACGAGACTTTGCGTCTTCTATTACAGAGTCTAGAATGGGAAGGAACACTGATACTCTAAAGTATGTCTCTGGTCCTTTAATTGCGTGGTTGGCTCGATTCTTCTGCACTTGTGATATTCTTGGAATACTAATATCAAAATTTGTCTTCTCGGCGATGTCCTTTGCTTCTTGGAACAAATCTTTAAAGCAAACAATCGCTGTGTTCCGTTGATTGGCAAGTGCTTTGGTCATGTCCGTAAAATGTTTCAACGCACATTTTAAGTTAATATCAGGTTTTTGAAGTAGCTTGCTAAAAGGCAGTGTAAGTGAAAATATGTTGCACATACACACTACAGTGATAAGGAAAGTACTGTTCAGTAAGGCACAAAATCAACGTTCTCGCCTTAATTAGTTTTGGCTTAATTGAGGAGACATGTCGTGGAATGTAAATTTTAGATTCCCCATGTCTCTTTTAACATATTTATCAACGTCTGTTATACCTTAATTTGCATTCCACGACATGTCTCCTCAACTAAGCAGAAATTCCAGCAGAAATTCGGAAATTTAGATTCCCCATGTCTCTTTTAACATCTTTATCAACGTCTGTTATACCTTGAAATTTTTAGAAGGTTCAGATTAAAGCAGAAATCTGAATTGGTTTCGAGACTATTTTAGGGAGTAAACCTTTAACTTTGGCATTACGTACAACATTCCTTCTGTATTTATCTGGATCGGGTTCTCCCTTTTTAAGGGTAAATGTTCATGTACACTATCGTTAGATGAAGTAGGCATATTATTTCTTTGTTTAAATAACAAAAAACCAATAAATTTGAATTAATCGTTGTCAAGCACTTAACCTCACAACACAACACATTAATGAAAACTGAAATAAAAACATGGTATTATAAACGACCCAACAATCATACAATCTCGCTTACCAACCAAATTCTTAGAAATTATGTTTACAAATTCACAGCAAAAACTGTATACGTCCTGGACTAGCGTTATTTTTGCACAGACTTTCATTTTTAATTGTAGAGTATTTCAAAAGATTATGTATGGACTGGTGTCGTTTTTGCACACAAACGTGAGTTCATCTTGGAGCTGTCTCAATTGTTTCCAGAGCCTTGACAACTTGGTATCTTAAAAATATGTTTTTTTTTTTCGGGAGCCGTCTAATATATTGTCCGTTACAATACGTTGTTACGTTCTATATAACGTAACAAGTGACCTCACGATCCCAAAACAATCGTGGATTTCAAAATGGTGCAACCAACGTGGTGAGTACCTTACAGCGTATTTAAAAATGGTATATCATGGTGGTTAATTCCAATGAAATATAGTAAATAATATTTAAATGCCAAAAGAAAATAGCTTCAGAATAATAATAATAATTTCATACAAAAATTTTCTTTTCCTACTTCCTCCTACTACCTCGTCCTAACTATTCGTTTTAGGCGTTTTCCTTAACTCTGTTGTAAATATTTTCGTTATTCACGAATATATCAACCCAATTATTTTTAATGTCAATTAACTAAACTTTGAAGAAAAGTGATAATTATAATGTGCACGTGGTATATGCGGCTGAAACGGAAGTTAAATTTACTCCGCTTCTCCCTACGACAAGAACATAAATTAATTACGTGATGTTTAGGTATTCATTGGCCTTTAAAAGAAACTAAAAAATCTTTTCTTGAAGATAAACATCAAAACGTCGTTGTGTATTGCGTTTTATTTCTGTTAAAAAAAATAAAATAAAAATATTTTGAGACATTGTCTACTCTTTATGGGAGTATCCTGCATCTATTCTATTTACTAATGAAATCATTACTCTTGTTCCTGCATAGGATACATATTCGGTATTTCTTTATGCGTATTAATATAATGAAGGTGTTTTTTAAATAGCGTTATCGTAACGACCGTGGAAAAATAAAATACAAGTTATTAATACAAATACAATAGTAAGCATGTTCCACGTAAACGATTTATTGATTTCAGTCCACTTTCCGGAAAATAATACGACTTGGCAACAACGCTAACATATACCAACTCCACCACACTTCAGACCAAGTCACCAAGGCGAGCTTGATTTTCACAAACATTTTCCGAGGACGGAACGATGCAGGCCCTGCTGTGTTTGTCAACAGTGCGAAATTCGTAGCGGCCGTTATAACCCATTTTACGATATGGAAGTGATTTCGACGGGGACTTCTAGACTATTTTTAACTTCTTCAGTTGAAAATAAAGATGATTTAGAAGAGGTAAATGGTTTAAAATCATATTAGTTATAGCAAATGTCCGCCATTGTGAATCTCGCCTTGACTTCTTTTATTTGTATTTTGACGCTGACAGTACCTTAAGCGCGGTAAAATTAAATTTTGGTTTTCTTGTTTCAGAAACTGGAAAGAAGTTACCAATTTCTTCAAAGCACTACAGCTGGATTAAGTGATAAAGATGCACACGAGGCTCTCAACAAAGCACTTTTGAAAGAAAAAGGTTATGAAGAAGTGTCATTTGGACTTTTGGTTACAATTTTAACAGAACCTCACAATGCAGCAAAGTGTTACAGAGATTTAACGTTAATAACCCGCGATGGGTTTGGACTTATAGTTACAAATTTATCACAGTTAGTGTTGGACAGATATTTACGTTTTAATGATGTGGTGAAACAACAGTTAATATGGCTCTTAAGGGAAATGATCAAAAATGCTGTGACCAATGTGGACAATTTGGTGTGGAATTTGATGAGGCATGCAGCGGGAGGTGATGTATCCCCTAAAAATATTACGCTTATTGAATCCCTTCTTGATGTTTTTATAGAATATAGAAATTGGTTAGAAAAATTTCCGGTTTTAATAGCATCTGTAGTTTATACATATTTAAGACTAATAGAAGATCACAATGGGCCTTACTTAACAAGTTTGAGACAGAAAGAAGTAAACTTTTTAATAAGTATTATGAGGGATCATTTTCAGGATTGTTTGGTTATTGGGAGAGATTTAGTTCGACTTTTACAAAATGTAGCACGCATACCTGAATTTGACCAGCTCTGGAAAGATGTACTACTATCACCAAAGACGTTATCTCCAAATTTTACAGGTGTGTTACAACTTTTACAAAACAGAACATCAAGGAGGTTTCTGCAGTCTAGGTTAACACCAGAAATGGAGAGAAAACTTGTGTTTTTAACATCTCAAGTTAAATTTGGAAACCATAAACGATATCAGGATTGGTTTCAAAGGCAGTATTTAGCTACTCCTGAATCACAAAGTCTTCGGTGTGACATTATACGCTTTATTGTTGGTGTTATCCATCCTACAAATGAACTTCTTTGTTCTGACATCATACCAAGGTGGGCTGTTATTGGATGGCTTCTAACAACTTGTACATCTAGTGTGGCAGTATCAAATGCTAAATTGGCTCTGTTTTATGACTGGTTATTTTTCGATAGTGAAAAGGACAACATTATGAATATTGAACCAGCCATTTTAGTGATGTATCATTCCATGAGGTCACATCCTGCAGTTTCTGCAACACTGTTGGACTTTTTGTGTAGAATAATTGCCAACTTTTATCCCCCATTGACAGAAAAAGTGAGGGCAGGCATATTTACTTCACTGAGGCAGATTTTAGATAAGAGAGTATTAGGTTCACTTTTACCCCTATTTGACAGTCCAAAATTAGACAGAGATCTTAGAACTATGGTTCAAGATACCTTTAGAGAGTTCTGCACAGAAATACCGCTAGAATCATCTTCCAAAGTGATTTTAAACACTCCACATTCTGGTAAGTTTGAAGAAAATGAATCAGTGTCCCTTCTCATCAACAACCATATTATGGACAATGAACCAGCATTTAGTGATGACGAAGAGGAACCATCATTAAGAATAAGCACATCTCTTGCTTATGACTCAGATGATGATGACATTCCATTATCAAAATTGAAATTGAAAGCAAAACTAAAACAAGCAGACAATTTCATAGAAGGACCTATTGGAGAAACTCTTCAAAAACTTCAAAATGAAACTGACACAGATGAAAGAAATGATCTAATGGAGAAACTAATAGGACAAGTAATGGACTTGGATGAAGACGATGAGAATCTTCCTGCTGTAGCAAAACGTCTAGTCAGCTCTGTAAAAGATGAGGTGGCAGGGGAGATATTTCCAGATGTCTTAACAGAAGAAAACCTTATGGATAGCATGAAGTCTCCTCTCTTTATGATGTTTAAAACTATGTATGGATTAACTAAAGATGAACTAGGCAAAGATGTACTGTACAAATTAATTTCAGAGATGTATACTGAATTACCAAGTCTGGGTTACCTGATTATTTATTACCTCAAAGCAAAAATTTGGAAGGACAACAAAAAGGAGGACCATTCAGTGGCAAGTGCATTGAAGATAAGTGTGTACAAAGACTTCTGTCAAAGTTTAGAGAAGAAAGTAGATATATGTTTATTTGATGATTTATATGCCTGTCATCACAGTGATACAAAATTGATGATGTGGATAGTGCCAGATTTATATAGAGACTTTAAACCACAAACAGTTAATAATGCTCAAATATTGAGGGTAATAATTTCAGCAATAGATCCTAGGCAATTACAGACTTTAGTGGGAAAAGTCCTCCAGGGCCATCTGATGATGTTCAAACCAGAAACCATCATACCTCTATTGAAAGCGAGTCTGCAGTGGGAGAGCTTAGAGCAATTTTTCCTGTGGCAGCTTGTCAATGCCCACAATATATCTATAGATACTGTTTTACCATTAATTACAGAATTAGACTATGACCAGCATGCAGAAGCTTTAACTGCAGTTACTCTTATGTTAAAAATGGAAAAACCAAATTCAGATTACATCAAATCCTTGTTTTCCAGGGATATTTGTGATAATGGTGATCTATTTATTTTTACTATAATAAAATTTTGGTGTGATGAGTATATTGACAAAGTTGCGGAACTTATCTCCTCACTTTTAAGCACAAGGTACCCTTCCACCTCGCCCAACAAGCGGAAAAGATCCAACACGAGTAAAACTTTAAGTGCTACAGTGCCTAGTGCCGATCAAGTGCTGGGACATTTGGAAAAGTTGAGGATTATATGTGAAAAACACGACTGTATGGCGATTTACACCTTAGATTCCATGCAGAGGGCCCTCAGCATAGCCCACAACAACAGCAATGACAGCCAGAGGAAGCAGTTTAGTGAATTGTTTGCCTTAATGGAAGAAGAGGAGGAGGTCAGTGCCACTAAGAGGTCTCAAGGACGGGGAAGGAAACCTGCCAATAAGAATGTTGTGGTGAAAAGGCAAATTGTAAGAGAAATATCTGATTCTTCAGAAGAAAGTAGTGAAGTAAGTATGCTATTTAATATGAAATATTCTTAAAAACATTAGGAATCACAAATTCTTACTTTCTCTCATATATATTAAAACATTAAGATGTTTTTATCATCTTCCATTTTTTACATATTATGATTTATATGACACATTAGAAATTAAGAGAAATTGGTCTGAAATTTTTAATTTAATGGATATTAAAAAAAAATAGGTTACTTTTGGAATAAAATACAAAAATCAAAAGAAAAGTACTTTGAGGAGCCAACCTAGTATAGGAAAACATTCTTAAAACCCTGCATTTCTTGTTGAACTTAAAAATTACATGTGTTAATAACTGGATATACATAAAGAGTCAGTAACTTTGGTATTCCATTTACCATTTGTGTACCTTTTTTGTTAGGAATGAACAATGTCCTTTAGTCTTCACCCAATGCTTTAAAAATATGCAGTTTGTTTAGTTTGTTGTGCATTAAACTGAAACCCAGGGGCACTATTTATTATTGTCTTTATTTAGCATAAATAGGATATATAAGGAAGTTATTACTGTTGGTGACATGATATAAAAAGAATACTGAGAGAAGATGATAAAGGTCAACAAAAAATAAAACAAATATGTTTTTCTCTAAAAAAATATTATTTAAAAATGCATTAAAGATAATTGTAAAATAAAAAATAAAGTCTGTAGAAGAAGATATTTGAGTAGTGTCATTGGGATATTTTTGCCTTCTTCTGCAATTAGTCTCTTTGTTCAGTTGTTTGTTTAAATTAGTTTATCACCATCTTTTCTTTATAATGTTAAGTCACCTTTTCTATATAATGTCATTAATTTCTCTATCTCAACAAATAAATAAGTATCAAACTAATACAAAAAAAAAGAAAGAAAATAATTACCACGAAAAAACTATAGTCTATAATTATTTATTCATATTAATATACAATAAAGTACTTAAATATGTCAAACAATAGTATATTGGTTCACAAATATGAGTAGAAAGTATAACATCCCTAAACATGTGACACTGAAGATGAAATCAAAATCAATGGACATACTATTAGTAATCTTCGCTATGCTGATGATACAGTAATAAATGCTGATAGCCAAGCGCTACAACGACTAATAGATAGAATAAACACTGAAGGAGAACTACTGGGCTTGAAGATTAACATGGACAAGACGAAGGTAATGGTGGTTAGTAGAACACGGAATATGCAATTAAATATAAGAGTAAACAATAAGAACATCCAAAAGGTCCCCAAGTTCAGATATCTCAGTAGTTGGATAACTGAAGATCTAGATCCAGACATAGAGATTAGCAGGATTGAGCAAGCCAGAACAGTAATTACTAATATGAGAAACCTTGCTAAGCAACAGCAGCCTTAACAGTTTGATATCGCTTTGTAAAATGTTACATTTACTCCATACTGCTATATAGTGTAGAAACCTGGACCATAAAGGCCAATGTGATGAACCGATTGGAGGCCTTTGAAATGTAGGTATTTAGAAGACTACTTAAAATTCCCTGGCCAGATCACACAACAAATGTCGAAGTATTAAATCGAATGGGCAGAGGACAAGAATTGCTGCCAATAATAAAAAGAAGAAAAACTGCTTATCTGGGTCATATATTTCGAAATTCCAAGTACCAGTTCTTAAAGCTTATTATGGAAGGGAAGATAGAAGGAAAATGGGGCATCGGAAGAAAGAAATACTCATAGCTTAAAAACATAAGGAATTGGACAAACCTCAATGCTCATGCACTCTTTAGAGCCACACAAGATCAAGAGGAGTATGCCAGAATTGTCGCCAATATCCAAGACTGGGATAGGGCACCGTAAGAAGAAGAAGCCTGACTGATGAGAAAATTCTTTCTTGTTGTTTTAAAATTGTAAATTTGGTAATTCCATCCATCTCTACTTCTTTGGAACCTGGTGTAGGACAACATGAAGGCATGCTTATTCCTGGTCTCATATTGGTATACATCCTTATGTCTTTGATGACAATCTATATTTTGTTTTATATGAACAATACTCTCTAGAATAAATATTTAATGTAGAATTATTATGTGTAGTGCAACAAATGCTTGCCCACATTGTTTTGATGATGATCCAGCAATTATCCTTACAACTCTTCTTTGAATACAAAAGATATCTTTGGCTACAATACCTTGATCCTATGTCAAAATTACATAGCTGATGTGTGAGTGAGTGACACTGCAAAATAGGCCTGCTTTGGAGTGAATTGAGATAGACATCAGAAAATTTTCTCATCAGAAAAATTGCAACAAGGGACTTTGTATGAGCTTTCCATTATAGTCCTGCATCCAAGTAATCCCACAAAAATTTTATTTGTTTGTATCCCTTGAAGGAAGCTGTTTTGTTGGAAAAATCAAAGTTTGGGTTTTATTGAAGTTTAGAAGCAATTTATTTGATGCAAATCTGCAAAAAGAATAAATGAACTGGTGAAGTCTCTGTGGAAGATTATTAATATAGACTATCAGTTTAAGATCATTGCAATGCTAGTACCCCCAAACCCATATCTCTTCAATTTTCTGAGAAGCAGTTCATGTGAAACATAATCAGATGTATTACTTAGGTCGTAGAATGTAGGAAACAGATAACTGCACAGCTCTGCTCAAAAGCTTCTAGAATCTTCATCACTAGGTCCATGATGGCCTTTTCCGTATTTAGACCCCTTCTAAAACCAAACTGACTATTTGTAAACAAATTTTTCAATTATTTAAAAATCATTGCTGACATACATTGCTTAAAATATCTTAGTGAGCACTTTTTTGAGATTAGGAAATATGCTTTCTTTAAAACAATGGTTTATAAGTATTGTTATCAACAGAGAATCTGAAGTTGTCCCCATTTAACTTTTCACCATATTAGTTAAAATATCTCTGGGATATCTGAAAAATCTCAGGGATTGAAGAAGGAGGGTTGAATCCTGATCTGCAAATTATAAGCATCATTAATAAAGAAATCATTAAATTTGTTAGGTGAAATCTTTGTTTCCAGCTTGCTCCTAAATTCGTTTTGGTGCTCATTGATAATATCCCACATACACAATTTGATTAGATGCTGTTGCAATAAGGTTATTGTTGGCCTTTTATGTAGCAGATTTTATTGCTGATTTGTAATATTTTTTGTGATATCTTAATCGATTTTTCTGAGATAATAGAACTTAGCATTAAGTTATTAGTTTTTGTCAGCTAAGAACCTTTCAAATTTATTTGACATCATGAAAGATTTTATTTTAAGATAATAAATACAGTGTTTCCTATATTTTTGTGTGTAAGTATGTATAAATATTTATTTGAATACTTTAGAATAATTATTTTTCTTAAATTGTTTTGCTAGTAAGAGATAAAAAACAATGAAAAACAAGTGCTAGAAAGAAAGAGTGAGAAAGAAGATGTGTGATGGAAATAGAGTGTGAGGAAGAGTAAAAAGTTGTAGTGAAAGAGAGGAGGAAATAAATAAAAGGTAAAAATATGAGATAAACAGGGAATATGTATGGTAAATGAAGAGTAAGATGAGTGAATGAAAGGTAGTGAGAATATAACCATAAAACAGGGAATGACAAATGAGAGATAGAGAGGAGACATATAGAAAGGCAAAATATAAAGAAGAAGAAGTTAGGTGTAATTGAAAGTTATTATTGTCAGTAATCAACTTCCTTTTTCTGTTTTAATTTCTTATTGTGGCTCAAAGTACTTATTAGGTTAGGTTCGACATGAGTGGGTGCTTAATTATTCTTCCACTCGACCCAGGAGGTCTATTGTGGCTCAAAGTATTTGTTAACAGTTTGTATATTTGTAGGAGGAAGAAATCGTAAAACCAAAACAAGCGAAGAAAAGGAAAAAAGTAATGTCGGACAGCGATTGACGGAAGCAAGTCGTTTACGTGCAAATCGCTTACCCTATCACTATGCCTTCCCGTTGCTGTGGAGGCGACACGATTGCCGAAGTGAAGAAAACACTGCCTCTGCCTCCCATCACAACCTAGGGCAATAACATGAAAGAAAGAAACCATCTATAAGTACCTTCGAAGTTGTTAAACGCACTTGATAGTTTTCGCAGACATTCTTTCAGATATTTTGGACTTCTCTTTGGCCAGAAGATGCCGAATGCATAGCCGAGAGTTTCATATATAAAAATTGAATTGAATCATATATACTAAATGATTTATTACAGGTATCGTAACTGGATTTAACCCTCAACCGCTTCGTGAACTCTTTCTGTTGAAATTATTAGCGTAAATGATCAATTTTTGCTCTGCCTCTGAGTTAAACAGAGTCGATTTTGGCTGAGCCGACCTTTCTACTTCGTAATTGGAGTCATCTTCATGATTTTATACTGTTCTAGGACTTAAGTCTGTTGTTCACATCACAAGTACATTGTTTGTGTACTAAACCCTTTCTACATTATTACTTTTAGTAATAAACAGCATAAAACAATATTTTGCACTTTTCAATACACAATTATTGAATTTATTGATTCACTTTTCTATAATGTTTCGTTACTATGGCAGTCATCTTCATTGCAGACCAAATTTTAACTAATTGACAGGTTTTTTAGTTTTTTTTATTGTAATTTATATCGTTAGGTGGTTGAGGGTTAAATAGTTCACAAGTGGTATAGCAAGACTCTATATGGTGTTTTTTCAGGTGTTATGTGATATTTGCGAACAGTATATTAAGAAATATTAGAAATTATAATTTTTGGTGGACATATTTTCTTGTATATATATTTTTTTTCGTTCCATTTTATTAGATTTGCCGCATATTTTTGCCCAATTTAAAAAGTAGAACTCTCGATAGTATTTTCTTTTCTAAGGTAATCTATCACAATAGGTTTATATAGAAAAATCAATAAAAACGGGTCACATATCATTTATCAATGTTCAAACATAGAGTAATAGCTATATACATATTTGCAAAAGTTATTAATGATAGGTATGTAAATTCCACCAGGATCTCAATTCCACCAGCACTTGCCAGGGCAGGATATCTTTCATTTGATCTACTAATTGTCCATCATTTTACTCTTTGCTGCGATGATTTGAAAACACACTCCATTTCTTACTTAATTCACCTTTGATATCCATCTGTCAATTCCCTCTGCAATGCGTACCTCTACAGAAATGCGGAATTCTACTGAGGGTGTTTAACAATCACCTTTCATAAAATCAAAATGAAAAAAATTTTGTTTTCTCATATACATTTCTCTTTCATTTTCTGATGCCGTGGTTTGTTTTTGTTATTTGGCACCTACCTTTTATCTTTGGGATACTATCGACTCATCCAGCGAAGACTCAAGTTTTCGAATTCAGCACGATAAAGTTTTTATTAATGCATAAAATTGGGGGTTCTTATTTACTAAATTGTTTTTATATTTATCCATTGTGTTTACTCTATTGTTCCATTTCTGCTTTTAAATATGTCAATTTTGTTTCTTTATCTGGTTTTTTAATCAGTTAGTACAATATTTGCTGGAAAAAAAAATGGGGAATATAAATAATACATACCACGTTCTGTAAAACTGTATTTATGATTAAATACATAGAGAATCTACATAGAGTTAAATTACAAAATATTATAAATAACATTGCAGTTCTCCGTCGTCACTGCTTGCAGTGACTTCATATTTTTATGATGTATCAGAATGTAGAGTTCTATAGAAGCCATGGTACATAGTACGAATTTTTCCAGTATCGCAAAGCCATAATAACCCAGTTTACTGCTTCTTATCTATTGGACAAAGAGTTGTGTATACTTTAGATTTCCATGTATTGACCATTTGTCAATACGAGATAGATGTCCCCTTTTTTGCTTTTGTTAAATAACATCTATTAGAAACTGAAC